TCATGAGAATTCTGAATTGTGATGGACAAGTCACTTAGGAGCATTCTTGGAAAAAAAATACCTTCGGGATTGTTTCTTTCCTTTCAGTGGAAGTTACAGCTCTTGGCACCTTTCAAACCCTTCTTCCTGTGTTTTCAGTACTTTGTTTTGCCTGTTCTTTAAAAAATGAAATACATATTGGTATTGTCCACCTCGCCAGGTTATTTGGATGGTGTAATCATGGACATAGGAACATGTGAGAAGTAACCATGCAAGCACCTCACCACAGAGATTTGGGAAACTCCAGACATGTGGAACACAGCTCAGGCCAAATAGAGATGGTGACATTTGCTCTGGGCTCACGCCTGCATTTCAGAGTGGTGAGCCAGGCCAAGAGGGGTGGAGAGACCAGACCAGCTGCCCAGCTTCAGTGTCCAACTTCAGCATTAAAAAAAGTCACTGATTGCTCAAACCACATCTATTTTAAAAATTCAGGTTAACAAAGCAAAAAAAAAAAAAAAAAAATAAAGCAAAGAATTTACTTAAATGGCTAACAGGAAACATCTGATCCATGGGCTAAACCTCTCTCATTAAAAGAGGAGCTTTATTCATGGCTAGTTTTCAGGACCTCCACTGGACTTTTCATGCAAACAGAATGATTACAAGCATATTACATTTTTAAATTAATCAGTTCCTGAAAAAGGCATGAAACATTTTGGTGCTATGCTGGGGTACTGGCACAGACAGTGCTACCCAAGTCCTGTCCACCAGCTCCTACAGACCATTTGTGCTCCTTCCTGCAGCTCATCTTGTGGATTTAGGTGTACACCAGGCCTTCAGCCCACACATTTCTCCTCTGGCTTTAGCTGGCCACATCTGAGAGTACTATGAGATGCTGTTACCAGTTTCCCAAATCTCAGCTCATGTGGTGCAGGAGACTCTTGGCTCACTCCAAATGCAAAGAAGGGTCTCAGCTGCATCCAAAGCAGAGAAAAGATTGGAGCAAGAGAGGAGATGTTTATCATCTTGGTCCCTCCAGAGAGTAGCAACATTTGTTTTGCCAGTGACCTGAGGTTGTGCCAGCCTGGCCAGACACGTGGCAGAGCGTGTGTCCCCACTGTTTGCATGGACAACAGCTGAGCCTGTGTACCTTGGCAAAGCCCCATGCTCTGACATTCAGGATGGATCTATCTTAGCCCTCCATCAAAAGGTTGGGGAGGCTACAAAATGAAACCTTCCTGACCCAGAGGAAGCCCTGCTTTTTGGCTATCCAGTCTCCCATGAGATGATGCCTTTTCATGATGCAAGAGCCTGCTCATGCTGGTGGGGAGGGCAGGGGTATCACATGACCTTCTGACAGCTTGTCAGATGAAGAAAAACCAATATATTGCAACTTGGTGCTCACTGGAGGCAGGAGTTACTGCATGATAAGCCACCACAGAAGAGGAGAGCACACATGAGAAACAGCCTGGTGAGAAGGTGCCACTGAGGTGCCACAAGTGAGAGGGGGATCCTGCCTGTGTTCCTGGCACTGCACTGCTGCTCCCAGCAAACCCTGAGCTTGGTTCCAGTGGCTGCCAGGTCACTGCTGGCTCTCTGCTGTGGGTGACAGAGGGGAGGGACCTGGACTCACTCACATGCTGATCCCTGTTACTTCAAATCCATCTTATAGCACCTCTTCCTTGACACATGAGCTGTCATCCTTGGCATTTCCATGCTAGGCTTCAGCTGCTGAGCCCGGGAGAGAGCTCTCCAAGGACTGTGTGTTATCCCTGTTTTGCACAGAGCTGGAAGAGCCAAGCAGCCTGTGTGACACTGCATGTCACGGACAAAAACCAGAACGATGAGCACAGAAACGGGCAAGGAAGCAGAAGTATCTGTTAATGGCTTGTGCTGCTGTTACCAAATCCTTCCAGCCTTGGGGATGGTCTGATCCTGTCCTGCTTTGTAGACTCTTTGGGCCAGGGCTTTTTCTTTTGTTTGCATGATACCTGACCCAGTGAGGATCTGAGCACAGGAACAGAAGCACTACCAGGTTCTTAGAAAAATGTAAGGAAACCTCAGTTGTGTTTAACTCACTTGTGAATAGACCTCAGATGAACTTTAAAATTACTAACTATGTCTTCGAATTAAATTTCTTCTCCTTCTTTTCTATCCCTTTAAAAAGAATACTACTAACAAAACAGTTTGTAAAAATCATAGATATAAAATAGCACAGCTGGTGCAGTACTGACACTCCATGCGAAAAAGAGAGAGATAAGCACACATCAAAACCAAAGATGAACCAAAAAAGAGCTCAGAGCTCTTTGGATATCTTTCCTGAAGTTTTGCCTTTAAGTATTTTCTTCTAGCAGAGCTTAAGAACTTCTGACAATATTCCACTCTATTTGAAGTTTAATACAATCTGCAGTGCAGACAGTTCTGATTGTGGCTAGCCATCTCCCACAGCATAAGAACAGCTTGGTGTTCCTTGAGCTAGTTCTATCTCCTACTCTTCCTATGAGTCATTTCCTACAGTGGCAGCACATCTTCTTCCTAGAGATGAACCAGGACTGACACATTTCCTCTGCATGGCAAGACACGCTATCAACAGCTTCTCTCACTCTTCCCCCAGCACCCCTGATGGAGTCTTGTTTTTATATTTTTTTTTTTCCCCAGCTGCTCAGCTGAACACCATAAAAATCCACAAAAAACACAAAAAAAGACATTTTTTTCCAGCCACTGCGCTGGCAAGACTGAAGGTTTAAGCAAACAGCTGCATCAGCTCCAGCCCCCCAGCCCACCTCTAACACAGGCAGATCCAGAGACGTACAGACTCCTGTTATTTCAGCCTCCTTCGTGCACTGGACTCCAACCATAACTCTGCCCCAGACCACCCCCAGCCCTCTCCTTCTCCAGGGCCCAAATGTTGGGATGCACTGGCCTCCTGCATCGCTGATGTTGGGCAGGGAGAGCCAAGCGGGAGGTGGAGTCAGCTCTTTCCACCACAAACTCACCGTGTCCCTCACAGCTCTACAAAACTTAACTTGCCTGGAAGGATTTCAAGATCTGACTCATGTCCAGTTCCTCTATTTTAATCATTCCCTCTTACATCATTCTCAGAGGCCCACGGTGTCACATGCAACCTCCCGAAGCCCCCTTGGCTGAGCACTGATCCACTGCCAGCTCTCATCCCAAACAATGCTAGGTACAGAAATATGTGTGATACCAACTCTCTTCCTCCTCCCCAGAGCATTCACCAGCTCTGAAGGCAGCTAATAAGGGCTTCCAAGAGCTCTCCCCTGCAATGACAACACGGAGCTAGCAGAGGAACAGCAGCGACACCAGCAAATCTAAGGCTGCAGGGATGGGAAAGACCAGGGAAATCCCAGAAGGCTCACAAAAACCCCAAAGCAGCTGGGAGGCAGCACTGGCCAGGAGATAGGTGTTGGGAAGAGAATCAGGTCAGCTGGTTCCTGCTTTTTTTTCCATTTTTCCCAGAGACTTCCTGAATAACCGTGGATGTCACTTAATCTTTCTGTTCACGCTCGGAAGTTCAAATCATCAGCATCGGTCCATTCAAGATTTCCTATTAAACCTGATACCATAAAACAGGGATGCAGCCAGAACTCTCCGAAGGAGCCAAGCAGAACAAGGGTGCTCATGTGTAGCCATTTAATCCCTTCCCCAGATCCCAGCCTAAATGCCTCCACAGCTGAGAGATTCCCTGCTGATCTCAGGGGAGCCCCTTGCTCGTAGCAGTGACCGCCAGACCGAAACCCTTGCCTGGAAGATTACAAATCCTGGCCAGCCAACAGCTGGAAGGCTTTGAGCCCGCAGTGTGCTCTGTGCAGAGAGCAGAGCCCCTGCCCCTAACTACAGTTGCTGTGTTTGTTTTGCCCTGGTCAGTGAGTCATGGTTACACCAGGGGCTCTGCACTTATTCAGCACAGGGGTTTCTGGTGCAACCAGCAGCTTGCAAAAGATCTGGTGTAGATTGGCAGCACCCCTCCAGAAAATCTGCTCGACCAGTCCCCATGTCAGGCACAGGACAGGCGGGATGGACAGGGCACTGCTGAGGTGTGTGCATGGATTCTGCAGTGAGGACACCAGTGAGCCGTGGGCTGGGACTCCTGGGCAGGATGTGCTCCAGGCCTGGGGGGCATGGGGAAATGGATTTTTCCATGTGTGGGTGAGTGGGCACTTTGCAAGAAGCCTGTGAGTGCAATGATGTCCAGAGATCAGAGGAAAATCAAGCTAACATGAAGGACAAGGTGCAAAGGCAATGAGACACAGCAGAGCTCCAACATGCCTGAGCTCTCTGCTGATTCCTGCAGCAAAAAGCTTTATCCAGCTTCCTAAAGGAGGCATACAGAACTGCTTGGAAGGAGGTTGATGGGGTAAAGTCTTTCCTTTCTGTCCTTTCCCTGTTTCCTCTGCTCATTTCAGTCTTTTTCCCACTTGCTCCACAGCCTCACACTTGTCTTCAGCCCTGCTTGCAAACACCTCTTCCTCCTGGCCGAGCTCTCACATCTACCTGGTCTCCTTGCTCCTCAAACACATCTTCCCCAATCTGGTACACCACCAAGGACAAAAACGTTTCTATACAAAACCACACTTGCATTACACAAACCAGGATGGGACAAGGGTTGGAGAGAGTCACAGCAAGAAGAGGATAATGTGATGGAACTGGTGGGGGTGCAAAGCAGGAGATGGAACAGAGCCTGCAGTCATGATTGGGAATTAAAAAGTGCATCTAGGGAAGCGACTGGCCAGAGGCAGGACAGGAGGGAAGATGTAGAAGAAAATCTGAGAATTGTGAGAACCAAGGGAGCATGGGAAAAGAGCACTAATGCCTGTGAATTCAGCAGAGCATGGTAGAGAGGAAGAGAGCAATGTCTCTATCTTTGGTTTTCTTCCTGCTTGAGCAGACAGACATGGAAAAGTTTGTTTGAAGATATGAAGGGACCCAGCCAAAAGCCAGATGTCTTGTTCCCAGTTTCATTCAACAAAGTCTGCATAATAGACGAGGAAAAACTTTACCGGCCTACCCATCTTGCCCCTCTTCCCAGGAACTCCAGGGATCCCCTGCAAGGAAAAAACACAGAGAGAGAAAAAAAAAAAAAAAAAAAAA